TAGCCGGTGATTTTAATTGGCCTAAAATATCCTGAAGAAACCTCACGGCACCTCTCAACTTAATAGACTTTGTGTCCCATACTCACATTGGGGGCTGGGCTGGGTGCAACACGTTAAGACCCCTACTGGAAACTCCAACATACTAGATCTTATATTCACCCACAGCGTTTCCCACTTTTCGGTTCCCGTTCTGAATAAATTTCCGGGTAGAGACCACAAGATAGTGGGCCGGTAATCTTTCATTCCATCCTTATCCATCAGACTACCTGACCCCAGTCAACAATCCCGTCCGTTTAAATTGGAACCCTCTACCCAATCTCATCCGTAATCAAGATTGGAGCAGTTTTTTCTAACGGCTGACCCCCAACAAGCGTCTGATCACTTTTACTTTAACATGGGAAACTGCCCCCTGAAACTTTGCCCAATATCTCAAAACTCCTCCCTTAGAAGTCCAAGCTTGCATCCCTCCAACAGAAGTACCTTAAGATGCAAAGACTTTACCTCCAAAACCACGATTTTTCTCTTTCCATAAGGCTAACGCGTCTTACTGATATTATCCGGGACCTAAAGGAAAAACAGCTCCGCAACAAAGAATCCAAAACCCTAAGGCATCCCAATAAAGCACTGAAACTCTCACTCCTACATAAATCTAGGAATTCGGCAACGGATACTATGATCCAATATGTTGTGTTACCGAATAAAACTTCGGCCACCTCCCCTTCTGATATCACTGAGGCCTTCAACCATTATTTCGCCCATTCCATGGCCCTGGCCTCAGACACAGCACCCCCAAATCCTCCGGCTATTACCAGCCCTTCCTTATCTACCCTAACCTTTGAAGTAAACGTTATTTCCAGGCTCATTTCACGCTATAAAGCATCTGCGCGTCCTGGACCAGACGGGTTGCCCCCAGCTGCAATCAATAACGGTGGATCGGACCTTCCGCTTCTATTACTGAACCTATTCACCTTGTCACTCAAATTTAGTTTGGTGCCGTCGAACAGAAAGCGTTCAGTCATCATTCCACGGCACAAAAATGGACCTGTTCACGAATTTGCTAATTACCGTCCCATCAACCATACCCCTATCATCTCCAGAATAATGGAAACGATTATCAAAGATGGCATTACCACCAATCTTCTCGCTTCTAACCTTCTTAGCGATAGGCAGCACAGGTTCCTCAAATCGCGATCATGCACCACATGTCAGTTTGACTTCCTCAACCTAGTCACTAAGGCTGTTGATAGCGGGCAGGCATTAGTAGTTGTCTACCTAGATCTGTCGAAGGCTTTCGACCGTGTTCCACATCTGCATCTTATCTCCAAATTGCGTTCATTCGGCAGTGGTGACCCGCTGCTTTCTTGGCTGAAATCTTATCTTGCTCATCGTTCGCAAGTGGTCCTCGCCAACGGACATACTTCTAAACCGAAACCTGTTACAAGCGGCGTCACATAGGGAAGCGTACTGGGTCCTCTCCTATTTCTGATGTACATAAACGACGCATTGGATCTAGTACACCATGGAACGCCATTCTTGTTTGCAGACGATATAAAAATAGTTTACTCTTTCAATTCCAATGATGCTACCCATACTCTTTGCAGCATTTCCGCTGACCTCGCAGCACTTGACCGCTGGTGCCACACCTGGAGGATGAGCTTTTCCACTGATAAGTGCGAGGTCCTAACCTGCAAGTTCCAATTGCCCCCTGGATCCTTAACTCTTGGTGGGTCCCCAATAGCCAGTCGACCTACGATCCACGATTTGGGCCTCAACTATTCCTGCTCCCTCAACTTTTCTGAGCACGCCGCTATCCAAGCGGCCAAGGCTAGAAGAAGTGTGGCACTTCTCTTCCGCTCCTTTCGTCTCCGGGACAGCATCATCAGCATCTACAAATCACACATCAGGCCTTTACTCAAATACTGCCCAATAATATTTTCTAACATGACAAAATTCAACAGCTTTGCGACTGAAAGCATACAAAGGCGTTTCACCAAACAGCTACTCGGTTGGTCCACGTCTTTAAACTATAGAGAACGATGCCAAAATCTGAATCTTGCCCCCTTTCTGGCTCCGCCGCTTAAGACTAAACTTAGTCTTTTTGTATAACCTGCTCCATAACCCGTCTTTTTCCTTTGACTTAGTAAGCTTCTCCCGTGAAAACCCTACTCACTTCGGCACAGGTCTTTTACTGTCCCTTCCAGTATAGCTAAGTCGTCCATACGGTCACGTTTTTTCCCTCTTGTCTACTCCAAAGTCTGGAACAGGTTGCCCATCACCCTTCGAGCTTCACAAACCAAATCCCGATTTCTGTCGGCACTCATCCCATATCTCAGCGTCACCCGTGCACTACAGTTACCTAATATGTGCATGGCAGAAGAAATAGCTTACGAGAGGGGTCTCGACTTCTAAGACCAGCCACTTCTCCGACCCTGCTCCCTTCAATTGAGGACACAATCAACGAAAGACAGTTTCGTCCATCTGACTGAGTTCTCAACGTTAGACTACCTATGGCAAGTTCCTTATTGAACCAAACAAATGGAAATGCCACTAATTTCAACCACTTTTCTTCCACCTAACCCCGTAGTTTCTGTCACTCTTATGCCTCGTCCTTTACTGGTTTTTATATGCCTCCATTAACCGTTGATCCGCAGCAGGAGCACACCTGGACTGCTGCTTTTTATCTGCTCTCCTTTCCCACGTAACCACCCTCCCTTCTTAGCCCTTTTCAACTCCTGTCATGTTAATTTCCACATTTTCAAGGGTTTTGTCTGTTTATTCCATCGCTTGTAAACAGCTGATTATGCACTTGGCACGCCTCGGACGTCTCCGAAATAAACCGTTATTATTATTCATTATTACATTATCATAACCCACAGCTGGAAACACGTCCAGACTGCAATCCCCCTTTATTTCAGGTTTGTTGTCTCCCACTATCTCAGTCGCAAAACTGGCTAACCAAGGATGCCACTTTGACTCGTACGGACAGAGACTCAAGTGGAACCTACCGTAGCAATTGGGACCGAAATCAAACAACATAACAGGAAATACTCCTAATTGCTTATAAGATCGTTCAGCGTTTTCAAAAGCAACCAACACGAATTCCAGTTCACGCGCATGCCGCTAATATACAGCCACGCTCGACTGATCGATCGACACATACTTTGTCCTGCCAGACGAACCTTACGCACTCGATGCCGTACGTGACCAGAAACGACGCTGAATAACACTGAAGGCAAATGTGTCAACACATACATATATATTTGTCAGTGAAACAGCGTAATAACTCCGCAGTCCATGCGGTGATTTCCTACTTTATCATCCGTTACCACTGTTTATCTTTCCTACGACCTGTAGCCGGCTGGAAATTGACTCTCCACTTCTCGAAGACCCTCCAGTTGCGCTACACCAGGTCGTTTTGCGTGCTATTACCGATATAGTTTTCATTCATCTGTCTTAGGAAATACTAAGAATTATATTTTCTCAGAGTATTCTGTTAACCCATAGAAATTCAGGTATTTTTTTCTCAGTGGTAAACTCTAACCCAGCTCTAGTTTCCGTTACTTATCCACCTTATTCACAGCATCGTTTTGATATTTCAAAATGCAACGTGTAGCAAAGAAGACTTCCAATACTACCCCATCCACTCATACCCCAGTTACTAGGAAAAATAAGCTTCTTCAAACTCCCGTGGCCTTAAAACAATGTTCGATTGACCTCTGTGACTTTGTAGGCTTGGCGACGGAAAGAACAGCTGTTCTAGACCAAAGTATTTCAGATATAAAGTCTCAGCTCCTGAATTTGGAAGATACGATATCTAAACTCGCCCCCTTACTGTGCATCACTGAACGCATCGAAAATTCCACCTTACAAAATCTGACAGCTGCGGGCCGCTTTATCGACTCTGTTGCATCCGAAGTTCTCATAAGAGTGAGGAACTCTCGTAATGCAGCCGTGTTTAATGTCCCAGAGAGAATACCTCTGGAGCATGTCAAGCACATACTGTTGAATGCATGTGGTATGGCCCACCTTCCTTGTCAAATAACAAGGCTGCGTAAGCGCGTTCAGCGCTTCAACTGTCCAATCCTCATGCGATTTGCAGATGATCTGTCTGCCAAAGAATTCATAAAAATGCGTTCCACTATAGCTTCTAATTCTCCTAATAAAAAGATAAAAATAGCCGAAGATAAAACCCCACTTCAAAGGGAAAATACCAGATCTCCTGCGACTTTCCCCACTAGAACGACGCCTGATAGTTCTGAGCCTGCGACGCAGACGGCTGGTCGCTCCATAGCTCCTTCTTAAGTCCCCAATGCTTCATTTTACACGCGTCTCCCGCCTCTTCACGACCGCCCACTGCCTCCCCATCTGCTCCTGTGCTGTACTCTTTAAAATCTAATCCCATTACTGTTGATCTTGACATTTCCGCTTCTCCCCTTTTACTGCCACCCAGTCAGAGACGCCAATTATTGCCTCGCTCTCCCACCTCATCGCCTGTTGGATACACCCCGAACTCTAACTCGCCATCTGTTCCCTCCGGTGATAAACTACTCGTCGTCCAGAGGAATAGGTCTAACAGTCTTCCCATTCTTCTCACAAGCCCCTCCCTCATTCAACTGTCTCCTCTTAAATCAACTCGCTTTAACCCACCGAATAAGGTTTCGACCTTAGAAAATACCCCTTGCTCCAATGCATCGGTGATCCCTACAAATTCACCGTGCTCACTGCCCGTCAATACCAAAATACGGCCTCCACAGGCCGTCCAATCTGCCACACGTCGTACTTCTCACCTAAAAACTATCTTCACTGCTCCCGCTTCTAACTACTCCATATTTGGTGTTCCACCCAACTTGAGTTACCCCTCCCACAATGTGCAGCCTAATCTACCACCCTACACCCCTATTCCTCACACATTTTCAACTCTGCCCTCTGCACCCCCCTTTAGCCAATACTCGATTCCTACTGGCCGGTATTTCTCGACAGCTCCTGATCACCCCTGTCTGATGAAACGAAAACCATATCAAACTCATCGTCGCCTATCCTCCGCTTCCGCGGCCCTTATGCCGACCGGGCCGAGCTCTGGTATAATGGCTCCTGATGCTTCGTTACTTCTGGTTAGACGCCAAGTTGCAACAGCTCAAACCAAGCGTGCTTCATTCTTGCCCGCGGGATCTATTTCTATGGTTACTGACTGGAAACTGAAGTTGGTTGAGGCTTTAGAAATGACAAAACTTCCGGGTCGCAAATCCTCGTTACCCACCGGCTTTGCAGAAGGTGATCATACTTTGTCCTCCATGCAAAGTAAATGTGTTGTTGATGGTACCCCAATTGTCGCTAGTGTTGCGCCTGTGTGCACCACCACAAGCACAACAACTAAACAGTCTAGTGGAAAAATCTTCAGTCCTGTATCCAGCTTTGATCGAGCCGACGAAGAAGATGCTGGCCAAGAAGCGGATTGGGACAGTGATGAAGGCGAAGATGAGGACGTTGCAAATCCAGTGAATTTTTCCGCATCACGATTGAATCCGCTGCAGTTGCTTAATCGGGCCATGGAACTGGGCGCATGCTCCACAGTTCGTCACTATCGTCGGAGTATGCTCTCGCAGCCGCCGTACTCTCGATCGCGACAACAATTTCAAGTGGGAGAACCTGGAAGTGGTTCAAATGAAGATCCTCATCTGCCCGACGGTTACACACTATCTAATCTGCGACCTAAGCCCAAACACGGATCGTTTGCTGGTCATCCGCATGCTTTATTGGGACAGCAACTGGATTCGGACACAGTGGATCCGCGTCACATGTCCTTGCAACATATCGTACGATCACCTGGTCGTCTGTTGCGTGACAGTGTTGTCGGCCAGGAGGTATCAACATCCGTTTCAATCATTCCATCGGTGTTCAATTCAGAATCAAACGTTTCTCAAGTGAATCAGTCCAATTTACTTGGTCGATTATGGCGCAAACAAGCGCACTTATCTTCTTTGGCCTCACTTGAGGACGATGAAGATGCGGACGAGGCCACAACGGATGGCGGCACCTTGCAGTTAGATGGTCGTCGATCCTCGAGAATCAACAGACTCGGCAGTGCACCGCGACCCGGCGTTAGACGGCAACACGGTATGACTGAATACGATCCACCGTCAATATCCAGTTATTTGGATTCTATGTCTGTAGAAGCTTTGTCACGTTCCATTGGTAGTCGGTATCCACCTTCCACTCAGTTTGCCCCGACAGATTCTCATGTTCACATGGAATCGCCACAACGACGGTTACCCCCGAACACAGGATTTCGACAAGTGATTGTTCCAAACGTACCACCATCGGATTCGCTCCAGATTCAATCCGTCACCGCGACTCGTACCGTTCGTGTACAGAAACCGAATGAAAGGGATATCTCATTTGTGAAACGTGGACCACGCACCGCAACCAATATGTTGCGTGCACGTCGTTCTGATCTAGAAGATACCTTTAGCGAGTCCAGATTCCACTTGAAGTATAGTCTCTCAGATCTGTCACAAACGGAAGATGGTGCTCGCAGTGAGAGTGGAAGTCGATGTCAGTCCAGAGACACCACAGATGTCACACAGGGTTCTATACAGCTGTAACAGCCGGTCGTGGAAAATCCCCCTTTTCCCCTCGCGATTCAGTGTTTTTCCCAACATCACTCATTTCCATACACTATTGACTTGTCTTTACGAACTGATTGTTTTTCTGGACCAATTGTTGTTTGTTCGCGCCCAGAGCGCTAATTTGGCACATCCTTGTTCAGGACCTGCGTGACGCACGTGCTGTCTGCTCACACGCTGCTATTCGGTTTCTCGTTGTTGAGTCTTTGTGATCGTATTATTGAGGTTTGTATATTGTTTATGTCATTGTTTATTTTAATAATCTAGTATCGTAGAATTATCACGGATAATCGCCTTCTGATTTCGGGATCCGTTGCAAATTTGGCTACGCATTGCTCAAACGTTCGTAACAATAATCAATAGATCAATTTGGAACGAGGAAAAATCACGCAAAATGCCAAGAAAAAGATCAAAAGCAGTCGAATCCGGACAGAAAGTAACACGGCAAGTCTCTGGAGAGGTTTTGGGTACATATGATTCTTTAGTTAATGCTAGATCGCCTAGTCCTGTCAGTGCTAGCTCATGTGTTATTGAAAGCAATATTGATTGTAAGGATGTCGATTTATATAAGCTGAGAATACTAGAACTAGAGCAACAGTTACTATCGGCTAGACTACAGGCGCAGGAAGCAGAGAAGTGTACACAGAAAAAGCGAGAGCATGAGACCAGTGACTTCGACACTTCCGATAGATTAGGGTGCAATAAGGTAGGGAACCCCACGCCGGTCGCCGACTACAAACCACCATCGATCGATCTGCCTAGAGTAAAGTTAACGGTTTTCGACGGGCGAGCTGAGCAATACTGCAAGTTTGTCAAGCAGTTCGAGACGTTCGTTGAAAATAAGGTAACCGACCCTGGGCAAAGGCTTCTCTACCTTACTCACTACTGCCGAGGCCGAGCAAGAGAAGCTATCGACGGATGCACCATGCTCGATCCAGAACAAGGCTTCACAAGGGCAAGGAAGATTCTGAGGGACTTGTTTGGCCAACCTTTCAAAGTAGCCCGTAACCTAATAGAGGGCGTGATGGTAGAGGCAAAGAGAACCAAGGGCGACGTCTACACCATGGCCGACCTGGTGACCAAGATGCAGAACTGCTCAATAGCCCTCGACCATTTAGGTTACAGGGCTGACCTAGACGCCATGCACACTTTGGAAGGCATAGTCCGTCACCTCTCTCCCGAACTACAGGGTCAGTGGGCGGAAGAAGCAGAACGGATAAGCCGAAGCGACAGAGAAGCCAACTTCGAAGACCTGACCGAATACTTAGACAGACAAACGAAGATAGCTGACAGCAGGTTTGGCCGACTCATCCGGGACAGCAACCGAGCAAACAAGCCCGGTACTAGCCAAGTCCAAACCCCTGTACGGGAACATCCAAAGTACCAGCCTTGGACCACTACACACGTCATTTCACGAGATGCTACGGCGAAACCAAATTGCAGATCCTGTGGTACTAGCCATGGCCTACCAGAATGCCCCAAGTTCGGCAATGCCACAATAGACGAACGGTGGGGAATGGCGAGGATGGCAGGAGCATGTTTTATCTGTCTCAACACCACGCACCGGGCAGCAGCCTGTAGAACAAGGAATCGATGTGGTTACGAGGGCTGCACGGGCAGACACCATCGGCTGCTGCATCAGGCGAGAGTAACCATATTCGAGGCGAGTGCCAAGCCCAGCGTGATTTGTTCAACTTCACAATCTGCCAGTAAACCGGCACGTTTAGGCGTAGTGGCCGTGGGAGTAGTGACTCCGACTGGGATAGTCAAAGCGTTGGCTTTCGTTGATAGTGGATCCCACACCACTTTATTGAAAGAGCGGTTTGCCGACAAACACCAACTGGCTAAATGTGCGACGTCGTTAGCAGTGAGCACGGTGGGCTGAACACAGGTAATGACTGCCGGTAGATTAAGGCTGCAACCCATCTCTCTAGACACCAACGAGGAAATTGAACCAACGGAGGCATTCACGTTAGCGGATCTTCCCATGCGAGCACCAAGGTCGGTGAACTCAATCTTTACAAGGTGGCCCCACCTGCAGGATGTAACCGTCGTAGACTGGGAAGATGATGAAGTGGATCTCCTCATCGGCTGCGACGTGCCAGAGGCGCATTGGGTGCTTGACCAAAGAGTGGGCGACCGCCAGGCACCTTATGCCGTACGCACGGCCCTGGGATGGATGTTATACGGTTCAGTAGGGGTACGTGGTTCCGTGAATTACTTATCCGCCGAAACGGACCGCATAGAGTATCATCTGCAACGGCTGTATGAAAAGGAGTTTCATGACATTGGAGACGAAATACCGACGTTGTCTCAAGAGGATCACTTCGCTCTACAAACGGTGCGGCAAGGCACTAGAGGCCTCAAGAAACAGTTCGAGGTTCCCCTTCCATGGCGCACATCGGTCGACCCGTGGACTGACAACAGAAATTATGTTCTCCAACGATTACTACGACTAAAAGAACGTTTCATTCGAGACCAGAATCTGTGGGAACGATACGCGGATTTGATGAAGCGAAACGAGGCCCTCGGTTACGTTGAAAAGGTGCCCGCCAACACCGACAGCCAAAGGGGTATCTGGTATCTGCCTCACCATCCGGTTATTAACCCCAAGAAACCCAATAAACTGCGCGTGGTTTTCGACTGTGCGGCCAAGTTCCAGGGCAAGTCGTTAAACGATCGCCTACTACAGGGGCCTGACTGGACCACTCCACTGATTCATGTTTTGTGCCGTTTCAGAGTGGGTAAAGTGGCTTTGTCTGCTGACATTAGGGAAATGTTCCATCAGGTGAAGATTCCGGTAGAAGAACGAGATGCTTTGCGTTTCCTGTGGTGGGAAGGGAGCGACCGGGACAACGCAGTGGTGAATTATAGGATGACCGTCCACCCCTTCGGAGCCACATCGTCACCATTTTGTGCCAACTACGCCCTCCGAGAATCAGCGAACAAACATGGCGATTTAGTACACCGGACGGTGGTAGATAGCGTCAGCAGGAACTTCTACGTCGACGACTACCTTGGGTCATTCGATGATGTGGAATCAGCTCTAGAGCAGTTCAGGGGTCTGACGAGATTGCTGGAAGAGGGCGGCTTCCATCTAACTAAATGGATGTCGAACGCTTCAGAAGTGCTGAAGGTCATCCCGTACACGAAAAGGCCGAAAGGGTAAGAGATTTGGACGGCTCTCCACTTCCTATCGAGCGCACTTTAGGGATACAATGGGACGCGGAAACGGACGATTTTGTTTTCGAACTAAACGTTCCCGAGCTGCCAATAATCCGTCGTGGCATACTATCTGCCGTCTCAAGTTTGTTCGACCCGCTCGGTTTCGTCTTACCATGGCTGCTACCCGGAAAGATCTTGCTGCAGCGGCTGTGCCGTAAGAAAGTTGATTGGGACCAGTCACTGAACCGAGAGGACCGGCTGGACTGGGAAGAATTTTTGAACACCTTGAAGAAATTAGGGGACATAAGAATCCCACGATGTTTGACTCCTGGCCATACGACACGGACTGGAGAACTACATGCCTTTTCCGATGCATCCGAAGTCGGTTATGGAGCTGTGGTGTACGGACGATGGTGCGCAGGAGATGGACAATATACCACGAGGATCCTGCTCGCTAAAGCCCGTGTAGCTCCACTGAGGTCGGTCTCGATCCCACGCCTTGAACTCAGCGCAGCCGTGTTGGCAGTCAGGGTGGTGCAAGCTGTGAAGAGATGTTTCGATCTCTACATTTGGTCGGTCAGCTTCTGGACGGATTCAACTATTGTACTTTACTACATTAACAACGTACGGAGCCGGTTTAGTACTTTCGTTGCTAACCGGCTCACGATTATCCACGATGAATCAGCCACGAACCAGTGAAGTCATGTCAGGTCTGGCGATAATCCGGCCGACCTGTGCTCCCGAGGTGCAACCAACTTCAGGCAACTAGACACGTGGACGAGAGTGCCAAACTTCCTGCAATTGCCCAAACAGGACTGGCCCGTGTTCGAACTAAAACCCCCTACGGAAGTGGAACTGGAGATCAAAGGCGTAGTGATAGCAACCAACGTCGTCGAAGCGTCGTCCATTCTATCGCGACTGGTCAGGTTTTCTTCCTATATGAAGACGCTTCGTTCGCTAGTTTGGTTAACCAGGTTCAAGAGAAATTTACTAGTGATGAAAGGGCTACGCCCCCCAGGCCGGATACGGGTCGGCCCGATAGGTCCCGATGAGCTACAAGCGGCAGAGTACAATATTTTCAGAATGATACAACGCGAGGCTTTCGCCCAAGAACTCAAGAGGGCGGAAGAAGTGGGGCCGACCAATAAAGACATGCCATCTCCAAGAGGCGAGCTGAAGCGTTTAAACCCCAAACTCATCGACGGACTGCTGCGGGTGGATGGCAGGCTGACCAACGCCCACCTGAACTTCGACACAAAGTATCCTATACTGCCGCCTGCGAGACAATCTGTAGTAGAGCTAATGATTCAACACGTCCACGCCATGGAGGGACATGCCGGGGAAAGTCACGTGACGAGCATCATCCGAAAGCGTCTTTGGTTGTTGACGACAAGATGCTGAAACCGTCATGACTGGGGTGGAGAGAATCCTGAACAACCGCCCCCTGGTTCCAGTAATGAACGGCGACCCCACCCACCTGGAGCTCACCCCGAACAACTTATTGACATTAAGGTTGAACGAGGGTTTTCAAGGGCCGATAAACCTTCGCGGGAGCTACCTCCACGGATGGAAGCAAGCGAACTATCTGGCCAAGGTCTTCTGGATGCGATGGCTGTGGGAGTACCTACCGGCTTTGCAGACTCGACAGAAGTGGATGGCCAAAACAAGACCATTCAAAGTTGGAGACGTGGTTATGATCGCCGACGAACGCGCACATTTCAGCGCTTGGTCTTTGGGAGTAGTTACGGAAACCATCAAAAGCACTGACGGAATGATAAGAACGGTGAAGGTGAAGACAGCTAACGGAGTGCTCATTCGTGACATACGCAGTATTAACCTACGCGAGAGCGAAGACGGAGGATCTGATAACCCTGAGGCCTAGTAAACCTCTTTCACACCAGTAATCGAGGTGGATAAAGAAACACCATATATACCACACAATCTCCGTCAAACACGTTAAGGTGCTCGCGGTCCCTTCGTTGACATTACAGAAGGTTCTTTCCGATACGTGGTGATGAATGCGATTCCATTATACATTCCGATACATACACGCATGCACGACGCACTCTACATCCCGTAAACCCATCATACATGTGACAGTGTTCTTTGTTTGCCTTTGGTTGACGCTCCGAATGCCCCTTGCATATGTGGAAGTAGCGGAGCTCAGGTCACACACACATGCTACATTTTACTCGTTTTCTTGCCACGCGGTCCTTTATTGACATTGCAGAAAGTCCTCCTTTGATGTGTAGTCATACCTGTGATTTCGTTGTAACCCCGGCACACACACACACACGCACTCACACACACACTCAAGCACGTACATCCAGTACCGGACGGCCCCTTACGAGGACAACGTCTATGTGACCCTTCACGCCCGCCATCGGTCATTTGGTCTTGTGGAAGATGTAGACTAGCCTCACGTCCATATATCCAATGGATTAGGTGCGACCAGTAGTAGAACGTTGACGACGAGCATTAGACGCGCGCACTGACAGCAGGGCCTAGGCAGGTAGGAAGAATCAGTACCTTTATACCGAACCTTTGACTCTTCTAAGGATCCAGGAGGATTTTGGTGGGCGGTATACCAGCCGGTCGTGGAAAATCCCCCCTTTTCCCTCGCGATTCAGTGTTTTTTCCCAACATCACTCATTTCCATACACTATTGACTTGTCTTTACGAACTGGTTGTTTCTATGGACCAATTGTTGTTTGTTCGCGCCCAGAGCGCTACTTTGGCACATCCTTGTTCAGGACCTGCGTGACGCACGTGCTGTTTGCTCACACGCTGCTATTCGGTTTCTCGTTGTTGAGTCCTTGTGATCGTATTATTGAGGTTTGTATATTGTTTATGTCATTGTTTATTTTAATAATCTAGTATCGTAGAATTATCACGGATGATCGTCTTTTGATTTCGGGATCCGTTGCGAATTTGGCTGCGCGTTGCTCAAACGTTCGTAACAACAGCAGCGTGAAGAGGGTTGCTGGAGCAAGTTTAATTCTTCCTGCATGATCGGTTATATATTCATCATCAGCTCTGTGGACTCTTTGATTCGTTTGTTGAACGGGCCTACTCGTCAGTATCGACGTATTAGACGCACGATTGATCAGGAAAAACGGTTGGTGAAACGTCGTTTAATAGCCAACATAGATGCCACCCAAGAACATTCCCGCCACCACTTAGAAGCGGCCATGTTCGAGGTTGTGGCGAATACGACCGAGCGGCTTCAGCCGTTAATGCGTAATAATGTGGAAGGCGCACCGTGCACCAATAGGGATCTTCCGCACGAGCACATGCGATCCGAACACTATGCGGTACCGATGGGTTCAACGCACCAGCATCACTACCAACCGGAAAAAGCGTTTCGTCAGTCCCGATCGCATGCTTTTCTTCTCCTCATAGCCATGGGAAACTTGTCCATCGTGTATTCCGAATAGTTTTGCCATTTTTTTGCTCATTCTCAATCACATGCGCAGTTCAACGATTCTCTCATTGCCGTATCCGCTTACTGTGTTCTTGTGGGGCATGTTATCTGTTCCGCGACCGACGAAGACGTTTTGGATTTTCTCAATAACCTACACTGAGGTGGTTATCGTCATCAAATACATATTTCAGTTCAGATTTATCTATTTCAACGATCCGCTGGAAAAACCGTCCGTATCGGCTGAGAAACTATGGTTGCCTCGATTATTTGGACTAGACAAGAACGATCACTACGCTTTGTTCGATCTGATCCAGTTGATCAGTCTGTCCTTGCATCGTGGCTATTTGAAAAATAACGGTCTGTGGCGTGATCACACGGAATTCGCACAGGATTTGGAGCTGGTGGTAGAAGAGAATCGTGCCGTGCAAATGCGTCGAGCTAGTCGGCATTCTGTTGAACGTCCAAAGCGAGAATCCAGCAGCCATGCTCTACTGGAAGGAGAGAACTTTAACAACCAGGTGCTGAGTACCAGCCAACAACTGTCGACTATTATTCCGCGGATGTCTGCTGCAAGCAAATCGTGGAATCCGTTTGCCAAACTGCATCGATTCTATCAAATGACAGATCCACGGTATAACAAAAAAGTGGACGTGTACATTTACATGTTCCTGTGCGAGTTTATCGCGTTCTGGATCATGATTTTCGGATACGTGTCTTTCGGACCCAGTACTGGAATGGGTGACAACGCCTTTGAGTTCATCAAGTCCAACCGGATTCCACTTCCATTTATCTCAATGCTTCTAGTACAGTTCATTTTCATCATTATCGACCGCGGATTGTACCTTCAAAAACAAGCTTTGGGGAAGTTCATTTTCCAAATCATTTATGTCCTACTGATCCATGGTTGGCTCTCATTCATTCTGCCGCATATCACTTGATCACCGTTCAACGCATCAGTTGCCCCGCAACTGCTCTATCTCATCAAATGCGTCTACTTTTCTCTGTCAGCTTATTAAATTCGGAGTGGTTATCCTCATCGGATTCTGGGAAACTTTTTGACGAAGAACTGCAACTATTTGAATCTTATTCTATTTAAAGGCTATATCATCATTCCATTCTTATATGAGTTGCGCAACGTGATGGATTGGATGTGGACTCGCAGTGCTCTTTCCCTATATCACTGGATGAAATTGGAAGATATCCATGCCAAGATACTTGTTCTCAAATGATGGCGTCGCTCCGAAATCACTTATCCTACTCCGCGTGGCGTCAATCGTCCGGCCGAAAAGAAAGCTCTTGTTGGTGGCCTGTTGCTCTTGTTCTTCTTCCTTTGTTTCTGGGGTCCGATGGCACTTAGTTCGTTTATTGGTGCCACATTCGATTTCGATCCGCCAGTGCTCTGCACGTTCTCCATTTCGTTCGGTGGATTTCCCCCGATTTTCGAAATCACGTCACGTGAAGGAAACATTTTGAGGATCAGCGAGAGCGTACACTTGGATTTTAAACGGTGTCATGAAAAAGACAAGCAAACGCTTGGATTTCTTAATAACTTTGAGGCAAAGGATGTGCGGTACATTACCATTGATGGATTCTCGGGTAATATTTGGACCATCACACCACCGTCGCATAGCACGTTACGTGAGAAACTTGCTGACTCTAAGTCTGATCTGTTGTTACACTTCCACATGCGATGCCGTCGCCATACAAAAGAGATTCAAACGGGTCAAACCTCCGTGGAAGATATCTTCTCACGTCGTTTGGGTTCAAACGAAAAACACCAGTTACTGCGTGTTCTGAATCAGTCCACTTCTGTGAGGGTCTAGAGGAATCCGCTTCATCGCAAAAAAAAACCATCCTTTCGCACCACGGATCCGGTAGTGCTGGATGCCACCATGCCCCGCTACGTATTACTTCGAAAGGACCGTTTACGCGCAGCCTACGCGAAGCTGGGTCAGAAAGAGACCTATGTAGAATGTGAGCTTCAATACTCACCACGATCGACTGCAAACCCAGTCCTGGTGGGAGCTCAAGGAGCGCGAGGGGCCAGAGCCGGTAGATCCGTGCTTTGAAGTGCGGCGCGGATCTGTGCTCGGTTCAAAACAACGAGCGGCGGCCAAAGTTCTCTCCATTGTCACGTACAACGAGCGTGTTTCAGACAGCCTTTTTGGAAAGGTTTTCAGCAACTACGGGATTATCGGTATGTACGCAGCCTACATCTTTTTGGCTAACCGGTTACTTCGAACTATCTACAGCAACATCTCGTACGTGATTTGTTTGGAAGAACTGCCACGTGTCGATCGGATTCTCAATTTGTGTAACGAAATCTATCTTGTTCGAGAGAATAATTTGCTCCGTCTGGAAGAACAATTGGTTGCTAAACTATTCTTTTTGTACCGATCCTCAGAAACAATGATCAAGTGGACCAGACATCCGAAACACATTATTGATAAATTCACAGACAAGCCCGAACTATCAGCACCGCCACCACCACCACCACCAACACCACCACCACCACCACCACCACGAGACTCACGGTCGGAGCCTAATCCCGATGAGCCAAACAATATATCGGAGCGTCGTACTTCACACGGCGCCGGGATGACTGAGACGTTTGGAGAAAATCAATCTGGTTGGAATCAGTATACAGATCGTGCTCGGTTCTTGTCTTCGCCGCCCGTCACCAACCCAGTCGTGCGCCTCCGAGCCAGGCGAAGCATTGTTGACTCCCCCGGGGATAACACTGAAGGAAACGAAACTCGTCGACGTACCGTACGAGGTGCATGCGGTCACAGTCGACAAAGTAGACAAGATGCGGAAAATAGCTATCCTACGTCCTTAATTACTCGACCAACAGACACTAGCCGACCTGATACACGAAAACCATCTAGATAAATATTCGAAAGTTAAAACAGCAAATAGTCCGAGTTTTCATTTCCCTCGGAATCACAATTGTGATTTTGCCGTACTCGACGACAGCTGGTGAACCGACCAGACTGTTATCTTCCTATTTTCCCCATTATTCTTCCAGACCATACCATCTACTATTGTTTTATTCCTGGTTCCCAAACGGACACCCTCTCCTCATCCACCGCCTACCTGATATCGCCCCAAATCTCTACTGTCACCCAACTACCCTAGAAAGCTACCAGTCTCCGTCTAGGGATCCCTTATAGACCGGTCCACTAGCCAAACGATAACTAATTGTTCGGATAACAAAATGTTCATTTTCTTGCTTCCATATAAACGATAATCATAACCCACAGCTGGAACACTCTCCAGACTGCCGCACTCCTGATCTCTTCCAGATTGCATTGGTTACTTGGGTAGCCATCGGTCGAATCGACGTTTATTCCGTATTACTGTAAGGACTGGACGATTTGACCAATGGTTTAAACCTATACTCTCGCCCGCTGACGTTACATGGGGCACCGTACACGGGTTAACAAAACCTCATGAAAGTCTCACCGGATCGCAGAGGTGATTCCTGACACCAACCATCAACACATCCACTCAACGTCTATTCCCAAATAATCCAACCCAACAGTTCAGTTCTTCCCGCGTTGCAGTACGAAACCAGTGGCCGGAACCCAGCCTTCGCAGCTGTCAACTTCATCAAACCAGCCCTTTTTTACCTGCTTCCCTCAACATTCTACCTGCCACCACCTGCAACCAAGGTCTTTAAGGAACAGAATACCAGCCATCTGCAGCCAACTTTAATTTGGTTAACAATTTTCTATCACATACAAAAAAAACATTTTACACACTTCCAACTCCCGCCTAGCCGAACCATTGACGTTTGTCTCCACCAATACGTTTCATTGACGGCTTTTCTTTTCTTCAAAAGTCCGCCATATGTCCATACACCATTCATGCTCTTCAAAAGTTCACTGAAGTCCCTGCGAAGCTTTTCGCCTTAATTTGAATTTCCATACGACACTGTAATCACCTGCACAAAAGGTCCGTTTTATTATCACCTTCGACTCACTTGCCTTTATTTCACATGCTTCCTCCACAATTAGTTACCCAATGCTGGATCAGTGTCCAATATTCCGCTGATATCTCTGACTGCACTTTGAAAGCCCTACGCTTGCTTTACTTCTGACAATGTTCTTCGGCATCTCTTCCGCCCGGTTACTCGTTAGTGACCGTCCATTTGTCGCTCATATCAGCAATCCCACGACTGTTCAGCTATCCACACCGCCCTCCAGCGATTTCGAAACCGATTTGGAATTCCCGCCTCAACCATTACCACTTTTGTTCACTGAAACACTACATGACTTTACTGGTGTATTTCGGTTGCTGTGTGATTTATAAATCTAGAATCTGTGAATACCTCACATTGACATGTACTGCTGTATACTCTGATCTTGCCTTGTGCATGTGTATTGACCACGGTCAAGAAATATGCTGTACTATATCGACCCGCCAAACCCCACAGGTTTCTTCCTTTGCTCCGATGTTTCCCCCTCCGTTGATGCCCAGTCTCTCTACCCCTCAGCAGTCCCTCTCACTACAACATTTAATCCAGCTTGGCTGGAAGCCACCCCATCTGAACCTCCACTAGCCCCAACATCAACATATTCCCCTTTGACCATAACCTCCGCTCCTTCCAATCGCGATAGCCTGCCTCCTTCCAAATTACACCACCCCCCTGATGTGCCTATACCACCTCCCACAAATGGTATATCTCTAGCCTTATTCAACTCGCGTTCTATTCTTGACAAACTCCCACACCTTAAAAAACTTGTCCTTACAAATAATAACGACATTATCCTAATAACGGAATCCTGGCTTTCAGAGAGCACTTCCAATGATCAAGTATCTTTGGTAGGGTACAGTCTTCTAAGGACCGATAGACCGAACCGGCGTGGTGGTGGGTGCCTAGCCTACGTCAAGGAAGTCTACACCACGACCCCTCTTTCACATACGGCACTCGATTCTATTCCCGATTCTCTCTGGTTCACTATGAACCTCCAAACCACTGTTCTTCACATTGGCTGCGTTTATCGATCACCAAATTCCCCCAGTTCATTGTTTCCACTTCTCATTAGGTCTTTCGAATACCTCTCTTTGCTTCCTTCTGGAACCAAGCTTATTGCGGGTGACTTTAATCTCCCTCACATCTGTTGGCCCACCCTCTTGGATCCTCCCAATCTTATGGACCTGATCACTAGCATTCATCTTGGCGGCTGGACACAACATGTTGTCGAATCTACCAGAAATGGGAACATACTAGATCTGATATTTACTCATAACATGCCTCTCATCGACGTGACCGTAACACGAAATTTCCCCGGTAGTGACCACAAAATGGTTATCTGCCTTAGTGGCCCACCTAGTCCCGCACACCCCTCCAACAATACATTCCTATGCAGAAATTGGGCCTTGCTAGTCACGCTTCTTCGGCAGAAAGACTGGGGTGATTATTTCCTCACCCAGGACCCTCAGCATGCTGCGGATATTTTCTACTCCTTCTTTTCCGGTTGTCTGGAAAAATTGTCCAATACTGCCCAGGCTGTACCTAAAAAGAGGTAGTCTGTCTCGCCACTCCATAAGAAGTACCATAAACTTCTCAAACAACTACATAATTCCAACGACTTTTCACTTTTTATTCGTCTAAACCGCCTCTCCACACTTATTCAACGACAAGATAATACGCGACTTCGTGAACAAGAAGCTAAGGCTTTGAGTCATCCTAACAAGTCGCAACTTCTTTCTATGTTGCATAAGCCTAGAAACGCTGATGTTAAGGCCGACTTCCAACTTCTGATTCTGGATAATAACTCATCTATCACCTCCCCACCTTGTATAGCCGAAGCCTTCAATGCATTCTTTGCTTCAGCCATGGCTCCAGCTACTGTCATTGCCCCGCCCCCATCTTCACAACTTACCGACTGTCCTTTCTACGATACCCTTTGATGCCAGGAGTATTTCCAAGCTACTATCCAATAGCAAACCCTCCCCTCGATTAGGCCCCGATGGCTTACCACCAATTGCACTCGTCAATGGTGGACCGGATCTCCTCCTGTTGTTGCTTAACCTTTTCACTCTTTCACTTAATGGTAGCACCGTACCTGCTAATTGGAAGCGCTTGGTAATCGTTCCCATTCATAAAAAAGGACCTTTACATGAGGTATCTAATTATCGCCCTATAAACCATACCCCCATCTTATCCAGAATAATGGAAAAATAGTTAAAGATAATATTATTAGCTATTTATTAAGCCTCAGTCTTATTGATCACAACCAACGTGGATTCCTGCGTTCACGGTCCTGCATGACTTGTCAGTACGATTTTCTGAATCTCGTCACCGACTCTGCTGAAAGTGGGAAATCTCTTGTGGTTCTTTATCTTGATTTATCCAAGGCATTTGATCGTGTCCCTCACCCCCACCTTTTAAAAAAGCTACGGTCATTTGGGATTGTCGATCCACTTCTTTCTTGGTTCTAGTCTTACTTATCTCATCGTTCACAGGTTGTCTTAATCAACGGGCACACCTCTAATCCTAAGCTTGTTACTAGCGGTGTGTTTCAGGGCAGTGTTTTGGGCCCCCTGCTTTTCCTCCTATATATAAATGATATGTTTCCGACAAAACTTAATGGCACGCCGCTTTTGTTCGCGGACGACATTAAGATAGTCTACACTTCTTCGCCTAGAAACCTCAGTACTACTATCCCTAAAATCTCTGCTGATTTAGCCGCTCTTGATGACTGGTGCTCAACCTGGGCGATGAAATTCCGCTCCGACAAGCGTATTTTCCCTACTTACAAATGCCAGGTTCCTCCTGGTTCTTTATGCATTGGCGGTTCACCCATCGACAGCCAGCCTTTAGTAAGAGACCTTGGCTTAAGTTATTCTTGCTCTTTCAACTTCTCGGAACATGCTGTCCTCCAAACGGCGAAGGCTAAAAAGTGTCTTGGTCTTCTGTTCAGATCCTTTCAGCTTAGGCAGAGCATTCTCTACATGTACAAAGTACATGCCAGGCCCCTTCTCGAATATTGTCCCCTAATCTTCACTAGCATGAGAAAATCCGACAGGATTATTATCGAATGTATCCAAAGAAGATTCACAAAACAGCTTACCGGTTGGTCGTCCAACTTAAACTACAGGGAACGATGCTTATCTCTCAAAATCGAACGACTATGGCTTCGTCGCATCAAGCTAAATTTGATATTTCTGTATAAGCTATTGACTAAGCAGTCCTATTCCTCCAACCAGTTGTGCTTCTCCCCGGATACTGGATATTCACTCCGGAATAGACAGTATACTATTACCACACCCTCCGCGAGGACTGTTCTACGCTCTAAGTTCTTTTTCTTCGCGTACTCCAGAATCTGGAATAAACTTCCCTTGCACATCAAATCTTCTCGGTCAAAGTATGCATTCGTGCATGCTATTGATAAATTCCTTACTGTCCCAACTGTTTCGCGCTTATTCAGCGTTCACGTAACCGAACGTCAAGCTTACGAGATAGGCCTTGACCTTTGAAAGTTTTAGCCACACTTAGGCGTTTCGATTTTAGTCTCACGTTTCATGGCCTCAATGTGCCTTTGGGATCCGCCGCACCGATGAGCCCGTGCTTAACTTTTGCTCTTCTTTCCGTTAACCGTTGACCCTCAGCTGCGTCACTCTATCTCACTTTCCTTGCCATAGTCTTTTGCGTCCGACCGCTTTCGCATGACACGTCCGATGGTCGCACCCACGTATACATCAATATATATATATACCTTGGGTATGCTCCACTCACTAGTCCCCCTTCCTAACTAGATTGTGCCATTTTACAGCACAATTTGCATATATATAAATAAAACCGTTCCGTCCTTTAGCGATGGGTGCTCGCTCTCACTTAATTCCTGGCTCAGGCTAGAACTCAGCCTTCCCATCCTGCATTT